GAGATCCACAATATTATTTTTGATGTCTAAGGTCCCTAAACCCACACCCATATATCATATTAGAGAAATTTGACTCTCTCTCTCTCTCTCTCTCTCTCTCTCTCTCTCTCTCTCCGATCTTCATTCTATTCAAACCAAACCCTCTCTCTTTGTGTACATTCCGATCTTCACCTTCGCCTTTATCTCTACCATGCCGTCGAATCAGAATCATGGCTAAATATTGTTGAAAATCTGTGGGTGGTTTTGCAGTCAATTTCAGTAACCTATAGGTTGAAACAATTGAATCAAGCTATTGTAAGAAATTTAAATCTCAAATGCAACAATGACCCAACTACTTGTCCTGTGATGACTGGTACGTGAGTTGCCTTGTTCTCTTGAGTTATGTCGGATTTGCCTTCATTGAAGTATTGGGTTTCAAAGTGTGGTCCAGTCAATAGTTGGGTTCGTTGTTTTTGAGAACTTCTCCACATAATTTTTTCCGTTCTTGTTTGTTTCAAATTCTGAGTTTTCACTTGTCCCGAAAGGTGCGAGGTCTACTCCAGAGTGTCGGGGGAGAAGCCAAGGTTTTTCGGGGCTGGAAGGTTAGAGCCATACGTACAGGGCCTTGGGCCGCATGTGCAGGAGAGGGGCCACACGTACGGGAAGTAGGGGAGAGGGCTATGTGCACACTGTATAAAAGGCAGGTACGAAAATGGAGGTATGGGAGAGACCGCACGTGCGAGGGTGAGAGCCGCACGTGCAGGAGAGGGTGCCGCACATGCAGCCAGGCGTATGTTTTGCCTCATTTTTTTGTGCATTACAGCTATGTATTCATCTTTTGCCCCTTTTTCACTCATTTCTGATTATACTTCTCTCTCTCTACAATTTTTCTCACTTATTCTCTCATCTCTCTCTACCCAAACCCTCAAAACTTTGCATTTTCTTTTGATCCCAAGAATCTATTGGGATTTTGGTACTAGTTCCTTATATCAAATGATGAGCATACCGTGGGCTTTGTTTTGACCGGTGGAGATCGAATTCCAGCGAAGTTTATTTTTGGTCTTTTCTTCTCTTCTCTCTTTGAGGTAGGGATTTCTTGATCTTTTTCAATATCTCTCTTATAGATAGACATGTGGTATATTCTATTGCATAAAAACCATGTTGTTATGGATCTTTTTGGAAAATCATAAAAGGGGATCTAAGTGTTGATCTATAAGGTTGAGATTTGGAAAATAGATTGTTGTTGGGTTAATTTGGGGAAAAGTGGTTTAACATGTTATGGGTAGAGAGAAGTAAAGCCCTCATTGTTTTGTAGTAATGCTTAATAGGTGAAAATGGTTGAAATAGTGAGATAATCATGTTATGAATTAAAGAATTTGATTAATGACTTGGTAATTTATTTGTGATTAAATTGAGTCTTAGGATTCTAACATTTACTTTGTGTCGGGTTGATTATAGTTAAATATAACGAATTGATAATTTGTTAATTGTTAAAAAGGGGATTTAACCATGAGATTAGGAATTTTGGGTAAAACCCTTGTTGAGTTGAAATTGAGCGGATTAGGACCTTGTTATCCGTGGGTTGAGTTTTTGGTCGAATGAAGGAAATGAGTCTCATTTATTTTATATATACATATGTATGTATATAATTGGTGTATTGGAAGAATTGGAAATTGAGTTTGGAAATTGACTCTTTTACAAATTAAGAAAGAACCTTGGTAAAAGTTGAAAACCTTGGAACATTATTGTATCGTTGGACTTAATGCCTTATAAGAATCGAATGATTGTATTTCGTGCATTTAATACATATTGCTTAGAGATTTTGTCCTTGGTCATCGGTGGAGGATGACATTGTGAATATTGAAACGGTTATGTGTCTATAGTACACTTGAGTTATCTATAAATGTTGTATAAAGTGATGGTTGGAAAATGTGTAACGCGCTGAAAATGAGAGGTACCATTACATTCCAGCCAGCGCCTGGAGAATTGGTTGCGCTGAGAATGAGAGGTACCATTACCTTCCAACTAGCCTGGAGAATTGACATATGTATCATTATCTTCCAGCTGCTGTCTGGTAAATTGACATTTCATTGTGGAAAGATGTATCATTGGCTTACCATGCTTGAGGCAGGTAGAGCGAAATTTATTTATTATTGTTGCTTCGGTATACTTGAGTATGTTATGTGTTATGATGGTTGTGGCTTTTGGAAGGTCAAATTGCCTAAATTGTAGAAGTATATAGTTATTGGATGCTTGTTGTGTTTTCCTTTCGTACTAAAGGTACACTTGCATGGGCATGAATGGGTGGGAAGTAGACGTAAGTAATGTGTTGAGATTGTAAGTAATGTGAAAGATATCAGATATTCGTGAACATGTTTTTGAAAAGTCAAATCAGGTGCAAGTCTAAAAGTGTGAGAAAGTGTAAAAGGTTTGTGGTGAAATTCTTATTTTCAAAAATTTGTTACTGTCATATAAGTCTTGGTAAAAAGGTAATAAGAAGAAAGAATGATAAATTGCTTACGTTATGGAATGAAATGAATAATTTTGAGAAAAGTACTTATATGTGTATATTTCTATATAAACCATCACATTATTTATACAGTATGAGACTAAGCATTCATGATCATAACTATTTATAGGTTGTTATTGTTTAGGATCATGTTGAGATCCCTACTAGACATTATGTTCATCCCATGTTGCTAATTTTTTTCAGGTGAATATAGAGGAGTGTTTCAAGGTCACAGATCTTCTTTATCTGTCGGCCACGGGGCCTTTTATTTGTGGGCGGAGTGCCATTATGTAAAAGGGTTAAGCCCTTTATCTACTTTTTAAGATGTAAGCTTTCGGGCAATTTATTTGGGTATACTCCTGTTGCATTCATTTTATATTCGAATGAGAGAATTATTATTCATGTATTCCTTGTATGCTATCTCTGAAATTGAATTTATAATAATGGTTTTGGTAATGGAATTCGAGTAATAAAAAGTGAGGGCGTGACATGTCTTTCACACGAAGTAGAACTCTTCCAGCTTCTTCTTTTGCCTTTGATTCGATAATTCCTCTTGCAAAATCCTCCAAACTCTTGAGCATCTTATCCTTGGTTTGTTCATCTATGTCAAAAGAAAAAAGTGTTGCAGATAATCCAAAGACAGCTGATTATTGGCCAGGTATCATCACCAGCTTCGTCTAAAAGAGCATCCACAGGTCCTAGTAATGCCTCGTTCAATTTTTTCTGCAAATTTTTAGTATTAGATATAAGTTCCTTACAAAGAAGACTGACTAATAAATGGACAAGATTCTAAAAAGTTTTTGAAGTCCCTAGATATATCCAGCTTTGCCATTTGCATGAATAACTGCACTTGATTACAGTTGATCAAAACAATTAGCAACTAATGATAAGTGATCACATAACCACTGTGTATGGGATCATATCGATGTTTGTTCCTATTTTGACTCAAAATTTGTCACTATAAAAGGACCCTTTCTGGATGAACTAAGCAATCCAAAGTTTATAGATTAAAATACCGCATACTAAGTTGTAAGTTCAAACAGCTTGGCAGCATAAACTGTATCAACATGAGCATCTATATCACGCCAAAATTTATTCTGCACTTTAGATGAATCTCAGGTGGCCTGTTCAATGATGGCATCTGGAGAGAATGTCTAAGGTCTCTCAAATCAATCCAGAGAAATTTCAATCCAAACTAGAGAATTTCTCTAGACCAAATCAGAGAAAATTTAGTCCAAACCAGAGAATTTCTCTGGACCAACCCAGAAAAAATTCAATTCAAACCAGAGAATTTCTCTGGACCAACCTAATTTTCTCTAAAGCAGAGCACTAGTCCTCATTGTTGTTCAGAGAAATTTAGAATTTTCTCTGTGGTGTGTCCAGAGAGAATTTCTCTGGGCCAACCCAGAGAAAATTCGGTCTAAACTAGAGAATTTCTTTGGACCAACCCAATTTTCTCTGAAGCAGAGCACTAGTCTTTATTGTTGTCCAGAGAAATTTGGAATTTTTACTGTGATGTGTCCAAAGAAATTTGAAATTTTCTCTGTGATTTGTCTAAAGAAATTCTCTGGATCGAATTTTTTTTGGATCGATGTTGAGGGACTTTAGACATTATGAAAATATTGAGTGTTTTTTATGTTATAAAATCTTAATACCAAGAATCTTAAAAAAAAAATCCCTAATTTAAAAACAAAATGATATTTTCTCGAAAAAAATAATAAAGAAAAAAATTGAAAAAAAGAAATATTTTGAAGACAAAATAAAAAGTCATCTTTTAGCTTTTTACCTATTTTGGATCATATCACTTTTCACATTTTCTATTTATAAAAAAATAAAATAAACTAAAAAAACTAAAACATTAAATTTTTATCAAATTTTCAAAACACAACGATATGTTTCCGTATAAAACGCGATTCTCCCATGAGGAAAAATTGATGACACGGAATTCATTAGACAGTTACAGTGAGTTTTACTTCAATTTAAGACCAACCATTATTCCTTATCATTCAATATATATATTTTTATATATTTTATTTTTTAGGTATAGGTAGGTAGGTTAGTTATATTTAAAAATTTAAAATATTAAAAAAATTACTAAAAATAAAAAATACAAAAATTAACTTTTAGAAAATTAAACTTGGAAAATTCGAATGTGATTGATTTTTGAGTGGTAATTTAAAGATAAAATGATATTTTGTCGAAAAAAATAATAAAGAGAAGAAAAAAAATACGCTTCCGTATAAAACGCGATTCTCGGATGAGGAAAAATTTATGACCCGGAATATCCGTTATTCATTAGTCTGAGTTTGACTTCAATTTAAGGCCTACCAACTAGGGGTGCAACTCGGGCGGGTTCGGTCGGGTTGGGGGTCTGCCCAAGCCCGACCCGAATTGCCCGAGGCAATGCCCAAGCCCGCCCAAGCCCGACCATGAACCCGAGCATTGCTGCCCAAGCCCGGCCCAAGGCTCGGGTTGCTCGGGTTGAGCCCGCCCGAGTTGCACCCCTACTACCAACCATACCACTCTTGTTCACCATTGATTCACGATTGAACCTTCCTCCCATTCACGGCGAAGGACCAGTGAGTGACTCAATCGAAGGAAATTTCCTTGGACCAGTGTATTCTCCGATTGCTGTTCCAAGGAAATTTGCCACCATCGATTCGATTCTTTCAAAAATCAAGGTACGGAATCTGTAGATCTATGTTAGAATTCAAGCATTTTTGTGTTTTTCTTTGATGTAGTGTATGATATTGCGAGTTATATGTCGTTAGATTCCTCTATTTGGCTCGTTTTGTTTGTATTGTTCTGCTCATATATTTCCGATCGTGATTGTGATTGCTATTATTTTTTTTATTTCCTTGTTTTGTTTTGTGTAGATCGGTAGAGTTTCATCAAGAAATAGAAATTTTGTTTTTTTGGGAGGGGAGGGGGTAAATTACACTCACCTTTGGGGAAAATACAATTAGACCAGCACTTTTGACATAATTACATTTAACTCTTTTTTAGTAAGGCCAAAGTCACTAAAACTAATGCAAATGGTGGATTGACAATGAAATAAATAAAGATAAATCTATATTATAGTTGAAAAGAGATAAAAATATATTTTTTTTATTTGTAAAAACTTAACAAATTATTGATGAAAAAGGCCTAGGTTTTATGTGTACTAAAATCTCAAGGGAGGTCATTGTAATTATATAAAAAATGTGAGCTTAACTGTAGTTTGTCCAAACTTCAGGGGAGGTGAGTGTAATTTGCCTTTTGTTTTTTTCATTAGAAATCTTCATGTTTTCATATTTATATAATTTAATAGAATAAAACTAAAATTAAAAATTAAAGTTAAATTTCACTTTATCCCTTGTGGTTTTCGTATGTCCACAGTTTACTTCTTGTCATTTGGAAATAAACACAAACCCTTGTAATTTGTGGCCGTTCGTCCAAGTCAACAAGTGTGAAATACGTGCCAAGATATAAGAGGGTTACAGAATTATTTCCAAATGATAAGAGAGTTGTACACCTTTTCTTCATCAATTGGGTTTTGTCGGGAGTTAAGAGAAGATTGAAAAGTAGAGAGGAAGAAAGAGAAAAAAAAAACATAAACACGGGCTAATTTAAAAGATACCAACTTGGCATTTTCCTTTCCTTCTATTTGGCAGTATAGATATAGATGTCAGTAGTATCCAATAAGTTGAAATTTAATAGTCAGCTCCCAACTCAATGACCAATGGTTGAAAAGAGATAACAATCATAAAATGCAACACGTCTGTAGAACATTTTAAAACCCTTTTTTTGAGTTTTGGACTGATGCAAGATGTCCTTTGTTATGCAAACACGGGTATTCATACCTTAGTTAGAAGTGCTTGCATTAATGAACATAATTTTACATGTATATGGATGGACGTGAAATTCAAAATCATAAAAAAAACTTACTACACAATAGCAGGTCAAAAAAAAAAAAAAAAAAAAAAAAAAAAATTACTGTCAATAGAGGCACATAACAGCCTTAGCAATTTTCCACCAAAACCTAACAAAAGCATCCAAAAAGCCATATCAATCAAGTAACTCCCATTTCATCGATTCCAACTCTGGGTGTTAGTAGAAAGATCCAATAAAGTCCTTAAATTGGATATTTTAAGGGATTGTTTTAAGGTTAAGATTTTGAGAGGCGGTATCTCAAATAAAAAATAGCGAGTAGATTCAAAACCTTGTACTTGCGTGTGCAATTTGTCTAAATACATGAATTTCATACCAATATAAACAATTTTATTTCACTTGGAGAAGGCATTGCTTATTGCGTCACCCACACCATTTAGACTTGAAGGACAATTTCTTCACCCATTCGCTCCATGCTTTATCCTTCGTTATCCGCCCTCGATAAATTGGAAGAATGTGAAGTGTTTGATGAGAATTACAGTGAGGATAAGGTGAGGAAGGGTATCATGGATCGATAATGAGTCAAGAATTACATTTCTGAATAACAACTCTTCTGAAAGATGTGGGATGTTCAGCAACTGTATCAGTTTTTGTGATTTGGTATAAGCTGTGGCTTATCTGTAACTGACACTGTGTTTGGGAACTTATAGGGGAGAGAAGAAAATATACGATTTCAAGTTAGGAGAGAAGCAAAAGAAGAGAAAATGTTATGATTTCTCTCCTATCTTGTTTGGTTAAACTACAATAAAAGAAAAGAAAAAAAGTTGTTTTATGTTATATTACTAAAATAAATATTACTAAAATAACCTTTAATAGGTCTTATTCTTTTTATTTCTTCTATATCTAAGGGGCAATTTTGGTATTGTAAAAAAATTGTAAGTAGTTTGTTTCTTTTCTCTACCAATCTCTCCACTTTTAGAGAGATTCAAAATAAGGGTTATAAGAGAATGCATTTCTCTCCATTTCTTCCCATTTCACTTGATTTCTATCCCTTTTCCTTATCCAAACAAGTGATATGAACCAAGAGAAATCCATTTCTTTTCTTTGCTTCCCAAATCACCCAATTCAAATGGGCTGTGAATGTTTACTTATTTTACCTTAAATTGAATAAAGACTTAACTCAAAATAGGGGTTATAATTTTTCTCACCACATGTTTGCTTAATTTATAAGGTTAAATGTCATAAATGAAAAAGATAAAAGTTGAAGGATGACATTAAAAGTACAATAAGGTAAGAACTAGAGGAAATCAATGATATAGTTTAGCCTCATAATAATAACATGGCGTTCTTTGTGAAGATTCAAGAGTACTAATTGAAGGAATTCATCTGGAAGTGGTTTTGGCATGAACAATGAAAATGCATGAGTGAACCTATGAAGAATATAAATTTGAACAACTGAAAATTTGAAAGTAGAAGAAGATCAATCAACAATAAAGGAAAAAGGTATCTAGAATGAAATCCATAAGAGAAGAAGACAACCCAACAAGTTTCATTGTTGCAGACAGTTAGTGGAGATCTACTGAACGCATTGTTGAGTCAATAAAGGGTAGATTACATTATAATATATGAGAGCAAGTCTTTGATGAAAGGGAAAATAATATATAACTTTAAACATAAAATTCATAGAAGACCATTATGACTAATAAGCAATAACGGTTCGTTGACTTAAATGCTACCACATATTATTGTTACTACTAATTTTTATGATATTAGTATTTGTGGTTTATCGTTATTGTTAAGTGATGGATCATAAAGAACATGTATTAAGCAGATGGAGGTTTGGAGCCAACTTCGGTAAAGGGTGTGGAGGAGGAAAGTTACCAACCCCAACAACCCCAATTGGACGTGTATTGCATGGTATGTACTCTACACCTTGCATCGTTGTTGTTACTTGTGTTCGTCGTGGAACACTTTCTACCATTCAATCCAATTTGAATAATAATTGCAAAGTAGTGAGAGAGAGAACGAGTTGTTAGAATAGGAAAAGAAGTGCATTTAACAAACCCTCTTTTCTTCACTTATCACTTTCCACACCCACACTTGTTAGATGTTAAAAAATGTCAATCAGTCACACCATGTGAAGCATACGCCCTATAAAAACACACAATAAAATATCCTCTCCTCATCTTATCTCATCTCATCTAATCTAATCTTGACAATTAGCAACATGATTCCCCACTCTATTTCGTACAATTGAGTTTTGCTACTGGAGACACACCCATCCACCCACCCACCCACACATATATATATTTGTTGATTGGAAAATTTCCATTTCCATACTTGATAGTACTTCTTTTCCTAATTTTAACCAATCCCAAAGATGGAGTTTCAATCGCCACCACCACCACCACCATCAAAGACGGAGGCTCTGGATTTTCCCCTTCATGCAATTGGCTTTGAGATTCAAGACTTGTCGCCAGACAAGGTTACTGGCCGCCTTCAAGTCACCCACAAGTCTTGTCAGGTTTTTCTTTTTTCTTTTAATTTTGAGTCCTGCATTTAATTCTTGAATGATGTTTGGCAACAATTATGCATTGGAATTGATTTACTTTCCCATCTTTGTTCTTTTAATTTACTGATAATTACAATTATGTTAGTAGCCATTCAAGGTGTTACATGGAGGGGTGTCGGCGCTCATAGCAGAGTCAATGGCAAGCATTGGAGCACACATGGCATCGGGGCTGCAATGGGTGGCTGGTATTCACCTCAGCATTAACCATCTGAAACAAGCTGAGCTTGGGGGCCTTGTCTATGCTGAAGCCACCCCCGTCAATGTTGGCAAAACCATTCAGGTCCTCCATCCTTGCAACCCCCAAAAAAAAAAAATTTTTTTTACTCCATTCAATTCAAATATGTTGTGTTAAAAAAAAAAAAAAAAAAAAAAAAAAAAAAACCTCAGAAAAATTGATTTTATGTTTCAGAAATGAAGAGAATCTATCACAACTATTAATTAATTTTGATATTCAAAAACTCATTCAGAATGTGGAGATACAATATCTCAGGATTAGCTTCGCTACCATTAACTCATTTAGGTTCAGCCATTCTCATGAGCGACACCACTCACAAGTGAGTGATGTCAATCGTAGTACCCACTTAATAATTTATTTGTTTTATTTACTATATATAACTTTTATTTAGGATTAATAACACTTGGCATCTCTACACTTTTATCAAAATCTCATTTTGATCCCTTTACTATCAATTGTGAAGTCAATCCTTAACGCTGTCAAGTTGCAATGTCATCATTCCGTGCATCTACCATTACCAAGGTTGATTAAAATTAAAAGTTGAGGGACTAAATTGAGATTTTGATGAAAGTGTAAGGATTAAAGTGAGATTTTAGGCCTATTAAAGCTAGATAGATGGAAGAGTGACATTGCAACTTGATTTTAAATTAAGGAGTTACTTTTACAATTGAAAGAAGGGACCAAAGTGAGATTTTGGTGAAAACTTAGGGGTACTAAGTGTAATTAACCCTAGACTTTTGATTTTCTTCTCTTATTTGTTGTTGTTGTTATTAATAATTGAAAATGGGTAAATTACATTGTTCACCCTTCTAATTTTCATTTGGATTTCACTTTGGTCCCTCATCTTCTTATTGTAACAATTTTGTTTTCAGATTTCAACCCTTGTTTCAATGTAGTCCTTTCCTTTCTCATCATTAAAAGATGGATGGAAAGTGCTCACGTGGTGGCTACACGAGAAGGCTTCTAAAGGCATTAAAGAAAAAAACAGAAATTATGAAAAAAAATTGCAATTTTCACCCTCCCAACTTTTCCACAAATTCCACTTTTTTATTTTTTTAACATATACTCAAATTCCACTTTGGCTTTTTAATTTTTAACTTTCACTCACTTTTTTAATGGTGGGGTGATGGGGAGGACTACATTGAAACTTGATTTGAAATCTAAAGACTTTATTATTGCAATTATTATAGTGAGAGATCCATTTAAATATTAAGTGAAAGATAGAGACTGAAAATTGTAATTTAGTCATTTAAAAATAGTGAAGATGTATATGATATTGAGAACCTCAGTGCAGTGCAGGTCTTAATTCTGGTTGTATGGTACATCTTATCTGAGTTGCTTGTAACTTTTTTATTTTGGGAGTCTGTGTCAGACTGTTTGGTACGACTTCTGCTTGTACCTTATTAGGGACCAAAGTGAGATTTTGGTGAAAGTGGAATGACTAAATTGAGATTTTAGTGGAAGTATAGGGATAATGACATGAGAAAAATGTTATAGATTGCTCACATGTGAACTAATGTCAATAGTTTAAGGGGGTAATTGTTCACAAATGTGATAGTTTGAGGGGATAAAGTGAATTTTTCTCATAATATTGTTTTGTTTTGTTTTGTTTTTCATTTTTTTTATAGGTTTGAGAAGTTGATTAATTATGTGTTAATATAAATGCTTTGAAAATTGATTTGATTTGTTCAAATTAGGTTCTACCAATATGTACAAATTTTTGAATTGAAGAAATTAATTGTAGTGTGATATTCATCTCTCACCCAAGTAACTTGTGATAATCACACAAAAAATTCTTTTAAGTAAGATCATGTTGATATTAAGAAAAAGTTTAATTCTTATCAATTAGATGTCCTATGGGTTATGGATATTGACAAGTGATATATATTCTATAGGATTTGTAAAATTTAGAGGGTATATGATATTGACTTTGTTTTCTTTTTTTTTTTGTTTTAAGAAATAGAAAAATAAAAAACTAACACGGAAAAAGTTTGACAAACTATTTATAATTTTAGCAATTATTCTATGAATTCTTAAAAGCAAAGCTTTGTTTGTACAAAAATGAAAATGATAGGTGTTCATTGTTTTTGTTTTTGAGATACAAATTTCTTCTTCTATTTTTTTTTTGGCAAATTATAGCAGTAGTCCCTGTAGTTTACCCGTTTTATCATTTTGGTCTATGTTGTTTCAATTTGATCAATTTTGCCTCCGAATTTTACGGATTGTGTTATATTAGTCCAATAAATAACGGCAGTTAAGTTTGATGGACGAAAAATCAAATGATATATCAATTTGGTCCATGTAGCTTACAGAATGTATCAATTTGGTCCATGTTGTTTTGACTTTCTTATAAACTATAGGGACCACATCCTATAAATTACAGGGACTAAATTGACACATCATTTGATTTTCCGTCTATCAAACTTAGCCGCCGTTATTTATTGGACTAATATTACACAATTTGTAAAATTCAGGGACAAATTGATCAAATTGAAACAACATAAACCAAAATGATAAAAACAAGTAAATTACAGGGTCCATTTGCATAATTTGCCCCTTTTTTTTTTTGAATATTAACACAAGTTGTTGCAGTTGCCCCTGGCCATTCTACGTAACATGCAGTTTCCCTCTTGATGGATATGTTTCCCATTTCTTAACATCCATTGTTTCTCGTCTCTAGTTGAATACCAAATTAGTAGGTTAAATTCTCTTCACCTTAAATGATCTAAAATTTTCAATTTATTTACCTCTGTAATGTGTCTCTGTAAAAGGTCTTCATCTATTGTGGTAGGAGGAAACTATAAGCTATCCTTGTACACTTTGATATCCTTTCTCTAAAATATAGCTTATGCAAAATTATCTTTACGGCATCCTAACCACGGCCAATTGTTGTTGAACATAACAGTGTCGCAATGACATTGCAATTTTGGTTACTTACGTTGTGTTTGGTTGAGGGATTTGGAAAGGGATTTTGAAAGAGAAAGGGATAAAGTGTGAAATTATGTGAAATGTAGGTATATTTTATTCACATTTCACTTACATTTTTCTTTTTTCTTTCCAAATCCCCTAACCAAACACAGCATTAATGATATTTGATGACTAACATGCTAGTAGTGAACAGTGATCACTAACAATATTTTGGTATGGCATTTTTGGTAGGTATGGGAGGTACGACTCTATAAGGTTGATCCGTCAAACTTGGAAAGAAGATATTTGATATCATCATCAAGAGTTACTCTTCTATCCAACATGCCTGTGCCAAAGAATGCCAAAGATGCTGCTGAAAATCTCAAGAAGTTCGCAAAATTATGATATGCTATGGTTTTACCTGGTAAAAATCAATGTGTGTTGCACCAATTTAGCATATGTACACTTCGTAAACATTAAGATATGTATATATATGAATGATATTCATGCCACTTCAAACTACTCACACTTAATTTTTTCATCTTTTAGTTCGCCATAAAAAAGTGCGAATATCATTGAACTAATAATATTACAGCAATATGAATATCAGTACACCTAATGACGACGGGACATACTAGGTGACCTGGTGTTTTTTTTATTCTAGTGAATTAGTTGATACTATTATAATATTATATTATAAATACTAATAAATACATGAAAATGATGATAAGGGCATATCAGGCGAACGAATTGTTCTTGTGGTTGGTGAGTAGAAATAAATTGAGGATTGAGAGAGGAGGGGCCACCGGTTATATATATGAGATAATATATCAGTTGCTGAACTGTAGTAATGGATTTTTCTGTTTTTTTTTGTGTGTCGTTCATCAAAGCAAGGGGACCATGGCTCCCTAATGTGTTAATGTAGATACCCTGTTTGTCCATACCCTGTTTGTATATATAGACATTTTAATTAATTAATTAATACTCAATTCGTGGAGGGAGCCTCTTATTTGAGTTCTTTCCCTGAAGTTGTGCTGAGAATCCTTGCCATCCACATCCCAACTCTCCCTAAAGAGGACAAAGGGTTGTTTTGGGAAATAGGTTAAAAGTTAATTTTTTGATTTTTTTTTTTTAGTTTTTTTTTGAAAAAACGTGTAAAAAAGTAGAGAAGTTATGTGATCTAAAAAGTTGTCAAAAGAGGCCAAACTTGTTTAGGGTATGACTGAGAATAGAAATTACTCTGTTGAATATGCTTTTTTATTGTTTATGGCTCTTAACGAGAATTTTCACTGCTTTGATAAGTTAAACCCTCACTTGAAGAAAGTTTGGTATAGAATCAAGTCATTGAAGATCCTTCCTAAGGTTTTATTCTTTCTTTGGAAGGCCATTCATCATGCTTTTCAAATTAAAAGTTGTTAATGTGCAAACAAGAAGTTGAAATTGAACTTCTCTAAACATGTATCGGGATCTAGTTTGGACTTTGATTTTGATAGTGGAAGCCTAGTTCTTTCAAGGACTGCTTTTTTTATTGGATATGTTGGTGATCACCCTTTGGGAGAAACAAGATTATTATTTTTTTTTCATTTTAAAAATGTTGATCTTATGCCTAGTGATATATTGTGGCCTTGATTAATGATCTTAATTCTTAATTTTATGCTTTGAGTGAAAGTTAGAAATTTGCAAGTGATGGATGGATGGGAAGCCAAGTGATGCTCTACAATACCATCCAAATTGTTTAAGGTGGTGCCTGTAAAGAGGTTATGAGGAGGTTGATATCCAGATAGATAGTTTGTTGTTTGTTTAGGCACTGAATGTTGATTATGCAACAAATTGCTACATGTGTTTTCTGATTATGGACATTAAGTGACTAATAATGTTTGTGATGTTTTAATCCTTAGTTTATTAAGTTTCTTCTTGTTCCTAATAAAAATAGAGAGAAAAAGAAGGAAAAAAGACAAGTCTTACATTGTACATGGATACCTACCACTCATCAAACATTGATCAATATAAGCTATGTCTAATAACATTTTTAGTCTCTTATGTATGTGATTTGTGTCATTTTTATTAACAATGTTTAAATTGTAAAAAATATTTTAGTTTGGTCACCTAACTCTGTTAATCGATGGCTTTAAAGCTATGGTAAATGTGGGAATTGAATTGAAACAAAAAGTATGTTTTTAGTTATATATACTAAAGGTAAGTGCAAATATGTTATATTTGTAATTTTATATTTAAATTTTTGAATAGCTTGAAAATTGAGGAAAATTGATCCGTAGTTTTGAACCGTTTAATGAAGGAAAAAATAATAAGTGAGCACGGTATTCTCGGAAAAGTAAAAAATTTGATAGAGGCTCAAACCAATTTAAATATACACTTTATATAATAGAATAAATATACTAGAAAGTGTGCATTGTAATAGGCAATTATAGAATTTAGGGTGTGCTTAAAATAAAAGGTAGTTCTGAAATAAAAGAAGGTTATTTACATGGAGATTTTTTAAATTATTGTGAAGTATTATTTCAATTTCCTAAACTATAAACGTATACAAATAGATCTCCTAAATTATTAGAGTATCTCCAATAGAGCTGTCAAACAACCTGCCAAAGCTATAATTTGGCAAGAGTGACAAAAAGGTCTCCAATGGCCTGCTATTCTACTTGTCAAAGATACCAAATGCCATTTATGTTCGCAAATTTGGTAGGTTGAATAGCAGCTGCCAAACATGCCACATCAACAAATATCAACAAATTTTTGGCTTCAAATTCAATTGAAAAAGCAGAATTCAAACAGTAGAAAACCTCCCAAATTTCCAAATGAAACCCAAATTTCATAATCAAACCCAAATTTCAAAGGAGTTTCCAAATTCACAAATTTTAGAATAAATTTCACAATTTCAAAATAAATCCTTCAATTTTAGAATAAATTTCACAAATTTCAGAATAACTTTGAGAATTTCAGAATCACAGAAATTTCAGAATAAATTTCAAAATCACACAAACAAATCACAAAAATTTCAATTTCAGAATCACACAGACAAATCACACATCAAATTTTAGAATCAATTTCACAAAGTTTTATAAATTTCATAAATGAAATTAGATGATAAATACCTAGATCGACCTCGAGGGCTTCTTCTCACAAAGATGTACCATGATCTGAAAGAACATTACTAGTGGATAGGAATGAAAAGAGACTTAGCAAGCCATGTCTCCAATTGTTTGCATTGTCAACGTGTTCAATTTTCTTGGGTTTGTTGTTGTCTAAATGTCTTACCGTCTAGAAAAAATTGGTCAAAATGAAAATGGACAATTCCAAGTGGTCCAAAATAATAATGTCAATATGTGAAGTATTTTTGTATAAGTTTTAGTATGATATGAATAAAATTCTTCTTACCAAATACAACGATGACCATCTGAACCCTCAAACATTAATAATTAAAATTATGCTTTGTTATAAAATAAAAAAAAAATAACATAGTTCTGCAATTTTGCTTCTGGCTTTGGGGGTGTTGCCCCTCGACCCCGCCAGGACGCTCGGACACTTATTCAGACCCTCATGCATGATGGCAAATATGTAATAATGGTGTATGTCTTCCAATCCACATTTCTTTCTTCTTTTCATTTACAAGGTCCGAATAAGGGCTCGAGTTTTCGAACCCTAATGCATGAGAAATGCTAAGTAAACACAATTATCACATATTTACCATCATGCAAGAGGGTCCGAGTAATAGTGGTGTTTACTTAGTATTTTTCATGCATTAGGGTTCGAACATTTCTTTCTCCCTTTTATTTACTCATTTATTCGGACCCTCTTGCATGATTAAATTTTTTGTATAAAAGAAGAAGAAAAAAAACTTTTTTTTAACCGAATACATTAGTTTTTTCTAGCAATAAGTTTATGTTAAAATGAAAAAATTATTAAAAAAAGGCCATAAGACTTGGACAAACAAACAAGGCAAAGAACGGTTACGCACAGAGGCTGCCTACGTATCCTTTTGCAAGGAATCAAACCAGCTTAGTTTTGGAGAAAATATATTTAGATTGAGTGGATCCAAAAACTACATAACATTGATTAAAATATTTAAAAGGTTCACTACAAATATAAATTAAAAATAGTTTTCCTTTCCCCTGTATTTGTGTCCATTCCCCAACAAAGTAAAGCTGATTAAAATATTCTGCAGGACCAGTACGCGGGAGCCTGGGGTACATCGCGCTTCCGGATTCTCCCTTTTATTTACCCGCTTATAATGGTAGCATAGAACGCCATGTTTACTTAGCATTTCTCATGTTCTCATCTACTTGTCTCATATGTATTAGGGTTCGGATGCTCGGACACTTATTCGGATATGTCTTAGGTTGATTGCAATGAGATAGACACTTTATTAGTGAGATAAGATAGTGAGCAGCACAAATCAAATGCACTAGTAAAAACTAAAGGGAAGTGTTCAAATTCATACTAAAAATACAAGATAGAAACATGATAAAAAAAAAAAAAAGATGGTCGAAGTGACCCAAGGTTTGAAAGAAGGTAAGAGTTGCATTGGTTTGGTGCTGGCCAAGACTTTGATGGGCTTAGACGCCTTCCATCTGTGCCCCCACAATTGCCCCCCAAACATCCGACTAACGCCAATTAGTCGGCATGTTTGGTTTTATACATGGAAAGTCAAAAATATGACGGTCGCACTCTTTACAATGTATTTGTTCTGTATCTTTATAGGTCACACACACCACAAGATATTTGATTTGCCTACTTTGTTTGTTTGCTTTGGAGCCAATTGTGAGTAATAGAGGTTTGACGAGAGAGAGAGAGAGAGCACCATGACATATCGGAGAGAGATCGGAGAGTATATTGCTCTTGAGCTCAAAGACCCACAGAGAGAGAGAGAGAGAGAGAGAGAGAGAGAGAGGTCCCCATGATGAAGGAGGAAAAAGGAAGAGAAGAGTGAGAGATTGAGAGGGTGAGTGAAAATAGAGACACACACACACACACACACACACACACACACACAGAGGCGTTTCGATGATGGAGGAGGAAAATGGAAGAGGAGAGTGAGAGTCACAGAGAGAGAGAGAGAGAGAGAGAGAGTGAAGACAGTGAATGAATGTGAAGATAATCGGTTGGATATTCTATAGAAATCATCTCAACCGTTATTTTGTACGTAGACGGTGGTGATCATTCTTGGAAGTGAAAAGAGCCGTTGTGCTCTGTTTGTCTCAAAAAAAAAAAAAAAACAAAACAAAACAAAAAATTGTTTTTTTTTATTTTATATATTTTTTTGGTGGGGTGAATTATATTTAATTTTTTTTTCCAATTTTTCAATTTTTTTTTCATTTTTTATATTTGTCTAGTCAGGAGTAATATAAATATATAATTTTTTTTTTAGAAACAGTTAAAAAAAAAAAAAGTCACCAAAGACAAAAATAAACACACACAAAAAAAAAATCACTAAAAAACCTATATCCAAACAACACTTACAAACTTAGAGGGAAAGTTGGTTGAAATTTTCCAAAATAACAAGTGACCATTGAAGCACCATAATATTGCTATAATTTGGCAAAATAGTGCATTGCCAAATTATCGCAATAGTAATGGTATTATAGCAACAACCATTGGAGATGC